ACAACAACAACAATAATAATAATATAATTTCAGTGACTTTCCTAAAACCACCCAGCAAACTTACAATGAAGACAAGACTTCAACTACTTATATAGCCCTGTTTCTTAGCCAGGTACAAATACTATGACAGCTCACTTAGATTTACAGCCGTACAGTCATGAGCAGCTGGAATTTCATAGGATCAACTAGCAGGGGACAAGATCCCTTACGCTCTTCTAGAGGAATGCACTAGCTGTACCAGCCTGAACTCAAGGCACTACAAGTGTGAAATTTTTGCCTGGGTAAAAAAGCAACTCACAAATGGGTGATTCAGTTTCTGAAATTAGTGCAATCTTATGCTAACATGCCCACTTAATGAAATTAATGAACATTTATTTTAGTAAGTCTTCATTTGGAAAAAAAATCACATTATTGGAAGGGACAGCAGAGCTTCTTTAATTTCCCTCAAGCAAATTGAAACTTACAATATCAGCTATTCTAGCAAGCTTCACCCAAAGTTGAACCAAAATGTTATTTCATGCAATTTCTCCCTCCCTCCTGGTTGTAGTCCTTCTCTGGAGCAACCACAAGACACTTCTACATGGCAACATTTCAAAAAGCAGGCTTTCATTGTCTAATCTTACTGTTCTACAGACTAAATTTTTCAGTCCTTTCAGTCATTTCCAAATGCCTTCCCATCTTTAAATCATCACGCAATGGACACATTCCAATTTATATTATCCTTCCTAAAATGTGGCACTCAGATGCAGCATTCCGTGTCTCATAGGGTCTATCATAAAAATGCAGCGAGAACTATCACATGAGGTTTAATGCATGCATGGCACATCTCTAAGGCTGTTTGGCAGGTGCATAAAATTGAAAGCAATTCCTTCCAAGTATGAGTTACAGAATCAACTCTGCAAAAATTATGGAGAAGAAAGACACAGTTAGAGAATTCCAGGAACTGAAATATTTTCCACTTACAACTAACATAATCCTACGCATATCACAGTGGAAACATTCTTTTTTAGCAGCTTTGATTTAAAAAAAAATGATATTCAGGTATCCGTTTTAAATATGCTCTTCTGTTTCCTTGCAGATAATCCAAATGTTTTTAAAAATTACAAATAAATAATCAGACGGAGAATATTTCAAGGCACAAAGAAAACACAGTAGCTTTGGATTGGTTGCTAAATAAAATCACAAGGGCTGGGTTAGTCTTGGAATTCCTCCTCCCACCCAATGCTTGATGGCATCTTCCAAGGGTCCTCCCACTCATACCACTGAATTTACTGCTGACTGAATATTCTAAAACAAATCTTTTTGAAATGTTTGAATTGAGATGGAATTTTTGAAATGATGAAATAAGAATATGCGATGAAATTGCAAACCTCACAGATAAAAGTATAAAGTACAATGAATATGAAGATATGAGAATTATTTAAAGTTAAAAGAAATAGGTTAAGAAATGAATTGCAAATTTATAAAATAATCTTGAGGAAAGTATTTGAGAGAAATAATAGAAAATACGTAAAGTAATGGTAAGATATGAAACTAAATGTGAAAGATGAATATGTCATCAAAGTCATGTTTGTATGGAAATGGGAAACCTGGAATCATGCTGTTCACTAAAAAAGATGTTTTTAAAATGTTTTTTAATAAAAAAAGAAATGCAGGTTTCAATTAACAAAAATAACATCAAATG